ATATATATATATATATATACATATACACACACACACACACACACACACTGCCGTTCAAAAGTTTGGGATCAGTAAGATTTTTCATGCTTTTTTTTTAATGGAGTCCCTTATGCTCATCAAGGCTGTATTTATTTGACCAAAAAATTTAAAAAAAAGTAATATTGTGAAATTATTGCAATTTCTAATATTGGTTTCCTGTTTTGATATGCTTTAAAATATCATTTATTTCTGTGATGCAGCGCTAAATTTTCAGCATGATTGCTCCAGTCTTCAGTGTCACATGATCCTTCAGAAATCACCTTAATATGCTGATTTATTATCAGTGTTGAAACGGTTGTGCTGCTTAATGCTTTTTTGGAACCTGTAATACATTTTTCTTCGATTCTTTGATGAGTGAAAAGTTACAAAGAACAGCATTTATTCAAAATAGAAATCTTTTCTAACAATACAAGTCTTTACTCTCCAATTTTATCCATTTAACACATCCTTGCTGAATAGAAGTATTAATAAAAAAAATAAAATAAAAAAAACATTTACTGACCCCAAACTTTTGAATAGTAGTGTATATTGTTACACAATTTCTATTTTGAATAAATACTGTTCGTTTGAACTTTTTTTTTCTTTTTCAGGATTCTTTGATAAATACAAAGTATCACAGGTCCCAAAAATATTAAGCAGCACAACTGTTTCCAAAATTGATTGTAAGTCAGTATATCAGAATGATTTCTGAAGGAAATCATGAACTGTAGTTATATTAGTGTTATAAAGAATGTAGTTAGAGTATTCACATTTGCCTCCAGATATTTGGACATGCTGATTGTTGTATCATCCATCTCCTTTCAGTGCCCGAAATTGAGATTTATACATTATCTGAAAGCTGAATAAATAAGTTTTCCATTGATGTATGGTTTGTTAGGATAGGACCATATTTGGCCGAGATACAACTATTTGAAAATCTGGAATCTGAGGGTGCAAAAAAAATTCAAATATTGATAAAATCGTCTTTAAAGCGGTCCAAATTAAGTTCTTAGCAATGCATATTACAAATCAAAAATGAAGTTTGAATATATTTACAGTAGGAAATTTACAAAATATCTTCATGGAACATGATCTTTACTTAAAATCAATCATTTTGACCCATACAGTGTATTTTTGGCTATTGCTACAAATATACCCCAGCGACTTAAGACTGGTTTTGTGCCCCAGGGTCACATATATAGAATGATTATTGTTGTTTCTGAGTGTTAGACAAAAGGATTGCACTTTAATTTTCAAAAAAACAAATCCTTTTAAGTAGTAAAACAGTACTGCTGAACATTTTCAGGTCTGTAATTAATACTTTAATTACACAAGAACGCATTAAGTTGATCAAACGTGACAGTAAATATTTCATAATTCATTCTTTATTCATCAAAGAGTAAAATCGCCTTTAAAGCGGTCCAAATTAAGTTCTTAGCAATGCATATTACAAATCAAAAATGAAGTTTGAATATATTTACAGTAGGAAATTTACAAAATATCTTCATGGAACATGATCTTTACTTAAAATCAATCATTTTGACCCATACAGTGTATTTTTGGCTATTGCTACAAATATACCCCAGCGACTTAAGACTGGTTTTGTGCCCCAGGGTCACATATATAGAATGATTACTGTTGTTTCTGAGTGTTAGAAAGGATTGCACTTTAATTTTCAAAAAAACAAATCCTTTTAAGTAGTAAAACAGTACTGCTGAACATTTTCAGGTCTGTAATTAATACTTTAATTACACAAGAACGCATTAAGTTGATCAAACGTGACAGTAAATATTTCATAATTCATTCTTTATTCATCAAAGAGTAATAAATGTATCACAGTTTCCACAAAAATATTAAGCAGCACAACTGTTTTCAACATTGATAACAATAAGACGTGTTTCTTGAGCAGCAAATCCTCATATTAGAATGATTTCTGAAGGATCATGTGACACTGAAGACTGAAAATGCTGAAACATCAGCTTTACCGTCACCGGGATAGATTGTATTTTAAAATATAATGCAATATAAAACAGCCGTTTTAAATGTTTAATATTTGACTGATTTACAAAAACAAAAAAAAACACTTTCCAACCGAACATTTGAATAGTAGTGCAGCTTTCAGCTTAACTTCATTAGACTAAGTGATGTAATTCTAGTAAAAAACTAGATTTTTATATAGAATTATAAAAAAAGTGATCATTAGGCAAAATGGCGTTTTATTACAATCAAAAAGGCCCAATCAAAGAGGCTATAATGCATGATGTAACCTGTGGATGGCAGCACCAGACTTCCTCAACAACTCAAATCGCTGAGTTAAATTTCAGTTGATTTCCCTTTAGGCAAAATAATTTTAATATCGCAGCTCTCAGTTTTTACCTCCGCTCACACTGGAAAGAATTCACACCCTATACAGATCAAATGACACTTTAACAAGGTGAAAGGTTTAAAAATAAGGTTTAAGCAATAATTGGGATCCTAAATCGAACCCAGAATGTAACCACGTATTTTTCATTTCAAATCAAATTGAATTAGGTTCATAAGAATAGCCTATGTATTGAATCACTAAGCACAGTATACACACAAAACACAGATTTAAGCTGATATGAATGTAGTTCCAGGATCTACAAGGATGCTGATCCAGGAACTTGCCCTGC